AGGATGTGGAGGAAAATACTCACTCATACATTGCTGGTAGGGCTGCAAATTGGTGCACCCAGTCTGGAAAGTAATATGGAGATTCCTTAGAAAATTTTTTCCATGTATACCCAAAGGGCTTAAAATAAGAATACTATAGTGACACAACTACATCAATGTTTATAGCAGGTCAATTCACAATAGCTAAGCTATGGAACCAGTCTAGGTGTCCTTCAACAGATGGGTTGATAAACAAAATGTGCTGTATATACACAGTGGAATATTACTTAGCCATAAAAAAGAATGAAATGATGGCATTTGCTGGTAAATGAAAGGATCTGGAGACTATCATGCTAAGTGAAATAAGCCAGTCCCAAAAAACCAAAGGGCAAATGTTCTCTGATATGCAGATTCTAATGCACAATGTGGGGGGGGTGTGCCCTGGGGAAGAGTATAAGTTCATTGGATTAGACAAAGGGAAATGAAGGGAAGGCAGGGTAGATGGGAATAGGAAAGACAGTAGAATGAATTGATAACTTTTTTATGTTCATATATGAATACACGACCAGTGTAGCTCCGTATCATATACAACCACAAGAATGGGAAGTTATACTCCATGTATGTATAATATGTCAAAATATGCTGTAATGCCATGTATATCTAAAAACAACAAATTAAGAAGTCAACCTAAAAATACTCTTTTATCTTTCACTAAAGAAAAAAAGAAGAGCCAAGCCTTGGTCAATCACACTACATCTTTCAAGCTCATCATAACAAGCAGCATGAACTCAATGACTGTGCCAGTTCTCCATGCTCTTCAAAATGCCATAAGCAAAACAGAGGAACCCAAATGGACCAATGGGTTATCCTAGTAGCCAAGAAACCCTAAACTCGGGGAAGCTACCACTTTTAGTGATCAAGTCTCCTCTTTCTGCAGGGAGACATTACCTCCTAGGTTGTTTGCTACTAACATGGTCCTGACATATTCCTCTGCCCCATCAACAGTAATCAGATCCTTGAATCCATGGCATCCCAGCCTCTTGGGGGGGGAGGAGAGAGACAGGTTCTTTCTAATTTGCTTAGGGCCTCACTAAATTGCTGAGGCTGGTCTCTAACTTGTGATCCTCCTGATTTACCTTCCTGAGTTGCTGTAATTACAGCACCACTGTGACTGGCTCTTTTGAACTTCTGAAGCATTTGTAATTCTTTTTCTTTTTGGTACCAGGGATTGAACTCAGGGGAACTCTACCACTGAACCACATCCCCAGTCCTATTTTGTATTTTATTTAGAGAGAGGGTCTCACTAAGTTGCTTAGTGCCTTGCCATTGCTGAGGTTGACTTTGATCTAGAGATATTCCTGCCTCAGCCTATGAGCCACTGGGATTACAGGCATGTGCCAGTGTGCCCAGCAAGTAATGTTTTCCTTTTTTGCTTATTTTATTTTCTCTATTAACTAAAAACTTATGAGGGAAAGTTTATGTCTTAAGCATATAAGGTTTGTTTTACAGTAATCACTACTCATGTTTTATGGTTAAAACACTTAAAGCCTTCAGAGCATGAAATTCTACTTCTAAGTGCCCTTTTCTGTAGTCCTGTTTTATTTATTTTTTTCAAAATAATATAGACATTTAATTGGGGGAATTAATAGGTTTTTGCTTAGTAGTTCTGAAATCTAGCATGGCTGGGTGCAGTGTCCCACACATATAATCCCAGTTGTCGCAGCCTGGGCACAAAATAACCGAGCTGCCACAAGGCACTTGTAGGTTCAAACAGGAACTTCTTTATTGCCCGAACTCCACCAGCACTCCCCACTTCCCGCGCACTCCCCGGGAACTCTCCGCCCTCCACTGGGCTCCGCTATTCATTAGCACACACTAGACAATGACATTTTTCTGCAGTCACATTATCTAGAGGTCTATCACAAAGGAAAAATGAATATTAAATTTGACACTGTTAGTATTTACCACATTAAAAAAAATCATGTGCTATGCAGATAGGAAGGAAAAACATTGCAAAACTATCAGAGCCTTTATTGAAATAGGCTAGAGTAGGTGATGGGGGCAGAGGATATGAGTGTTAGAAACAGGCTAGATCTTAGGAAAACAGTCTGGAAAGTAAGAGTTAAAGTTCGTTTTGTTATTGTTGTTATGTAGTACTAGGGATTGAACCCAGAAGCATCTACCACTGAGATACATCCCTAGTATTTTTTATATTTTATTTTGAGGCCAAATCTCACTGAGTTACCCAGGCTGGCCATCAACTTGCAGTCTTCCTGCCTCAGCCTCCTAAGTAATTTAGATTATAGATGTGAGCTTCTCTGCCCTGTTAAGAGTTAAAGAATTTTAACATCAGCATTTGGAGAAGGTAAACGAAAAAGCCACCAGGAATTTACAGGGTGACCTTAAGGACCCAGTGATTTAAAAAAAAAATATATATATATATATATATTTGGTTGTAGTTGGACACAGTGCCTTTATTTATTTTTATGTGGTGCTGAGGATTGAACCCAGCACCTCACATGTGTTAGGCTGAGCCACATTGCCAGCCCCCAGTGATATTTTTGGATAAACCACTATTAAAGTGCCTCCTTGCTGGGCAGCAACCAGCTGCAAAAAAACAAAACAACAAAATACTATAAGCACCTAAGTGCAGAGCACACAGTTGCAACAGCAGCGACTCAGTGCTGAGGCAGGAGAATCACAAACTAGAAATACCCTGTCTCAAAATAAAAAATGAAAAGGACTGGGGTCATAGATCAGTGGTAGAGCACCCCTGGGTTCAAGCCCCAGTACTGCAAGAATCAAAAATAAATAGAAAGACCTAGAAGCAAGTACAATCCAAAATCACAGGCTTTCCCTGTGAGCTTAGAAAAGTTTCAGGGCTGCAAAATTTTATGTAAAAATTCACAGTTGCTTATTTTAATCCTCTGAAATATAATAATGTAGAAAAAAGTGAAGTAGAAAAATCTTCTTCTAGCCAGAGCAGTGTAATCTCATGTAGTAAAAAGATATATTTTCATGACCACTTCCTAAAATCTGCTTTGAGATTCCTTTCCTGTGATCACAGTAGAGCTGTTATGACATTCCCCCATTTAACACCAGTAAAATGATGGGCTTTCTGCTGATTCTTTCCCCTCTATAGTTCATCATAACAAAGGGGGCGTAAGGCAAGACATGTATAGAGTTAAATGCATGACACTTGATTCAGACCACTTGGTTTCAAAACCCAGTTTTATGTGATTTAGGGCAAGATTACTGGAGCCAATAGTTAACAGGGATTGTTTAAAAGCTACTTGAGCCAGGTGAGGTGACGTACACCTAAAATCCCAGCCACTCAGGAAGCTGAAGCATGAGGACCTCAAGTTTGAGGCTAGCCTCAGAAATTTAGCAAGACCCTGTCTCAAAAAATAAAAAGCACTGGGGATATAGCTCAGTGGTAAACACCTGGTTGAATCCCCAGTAGGAAAATAAAAAAGAGATTTGAGAATGTCCCGAGACATTTGGTTGTCACAACTTCTATTGGGTGTGGGGGAGGGTATGAGTCAGTTTTTCCCTTCTGACCAAAATATCTGATAAGAAAAAACTTAAGAGCTGGGCACTGTGGTGCATACCTATAATCCCAGCAGCTCAGGAGGCTGAGGCAGGAGGACCACAAGTTCAAGCCAGCTTCAGCAATTTAGTGAGGCCAGAGTAATTTAGTAAAACCTGTCTCAAAAAAAAAAAATTTTTTTTTTAAAGGCCTGGGGATGTGGCTCAGTGGTTAAGTGCCCTTGGGATCAAATGTTGTGTTGGTACCAAAAAAAAAAAAACCTTAGAAATGGTTGGCTAGTTGCATTGCTCTAGGTTTAAGGTAAGACAAATATCATGGCAGAGGATGCTGCTCAACTCATGGCAGCCAGAAAGCAGAGAAAGGAAGAAACTGGAAAAAGATAATCCTTCCATCCCTCACCCCCCACAATGACCTTCTTACTTCAACCAAATCCCACCTCCCATCCAGCCATCAATAGATTTATCCACTGATGGGGTTAGAGCCCTTGTGATCCAGTCACTTCCCAAAATCCCGCCTCTGGACATTACTGCATTGGCAACATATGATACGTTGGGAGACATTGCATATATATAACAAAGTGCCTCTGGCATCCAATTAGTAAAGGCTGCTAAATATTCTACAACTCACAGGACAGCCTACAACAAATTATCTGGCCAAAATACTAATAGTGCTAAGGCTCAGAAATCCTATTTTAGCCTTTCCAAGCCTCCATTTTGTCATCCAAGAATTGGAGTTCATAATCATTTTTATGATGGTTAAGTGAGACAATCCACTTAAAATAGCATGATTTCTAGCTCTTAAGTGCTCTCTTAATATGAATCATCATCATCCTCATCCATACTGATCTGGGTATTTAATCTGAATTAAAAGAACACACTATTTGCTACCTATAGCCATGCAACTAGGGAAATCAGTTTACCACTTTCCTTCATCTGAGGGAAATTTCTAAAGAATAGAGAATGGATAGAAGCCCTTGTTGCTTATAGAGTTACAGAAATAAAGAGTAAGTGACCCAGTACACCTATTCAAAGTACACATTTAGTCTAAGAAAATGCTGTTTGGTTCTATTCATGTTAATAGTTTTCTTTTTCACATTGACATTGATGTCTTTTTTCTCTCTTCCTTTTGCATCCTATTGAAAAGTTATGCCTCCTTTCTTCTCCATACCTTTTGGAGTTTCAACTTTTTCAGTGTTTTCTAATGACTAAAAAAGACTTTTATGAAGGACTTAGGAGCCATCGAACTAATATAAAGCATTTATCAGGACAAAACATTGGTATATTTGCAAATAAAAGTAATGTCACCATTATGGATTATTCATATAATAACCAAATGAGTTTGTGAGATGTTTACTAAGTTATTAAGTCCACAATTTTTACTAAGAAATAAAAAACTTCAAAATCATAACTTCAAAATCATAAATTCATTTATATTGTAATGATATTAATTATTATTATTTTTATTTTTAAAGGCAAATGCAATAGGCCGAAGTGCTAAAACTGTCCGAGAATTTCTAGAAAAGAATTACACAGAAGATGCTATAGCAAATGACAACGAAGCTATTAAATTAGCAATAAGAGCTTTGCTAGAAGTAAGTGATCACATTCAGAAAACTAGCTACTTTTCCTCATCCATTTTAATTTACTAAACACATTTACTGAATGATTGTGTGTGTGTGTGTGTGTGTGTGTGTGTGTGTGTGTGTGTGTGTTTTAGTGCTGGGGATCAAGCTCAGGGACTTGCCCATGCTAGGCACACAATTGTACCATTGAACTAGACCCCGAGCCAGCTGAAGTAGTTCTGATATATACTTGTTCTACATTAGGTTGTCCAGTCTGGTGGAAAAAATATTGAACTGGCTATAATAAGAAGAAATCAACCTTTGAAGGTATGTTATTAACCAAAGAAGAAAAAATATCAGTAGTATAGTTTTGAGAAGTTAAAATGTTGAAACTATGAATCTTTATTTTAAGTGTCAGATATCCTTTCATACCCTTTGACACCATGATGACTTCTGTTTTGTATAGTATTAGCTTCTGTAAGCTATTGTACTCATTTATACATACTCATTTCAAGCAGTTATGAGTCCCGGGCTCTCTTTGAAGACTTAGAGGTACTTGATCTCTACCTCCACCATTTACTATGTTTCTGTAAGGAAGGCTTACTGAGCCAGCCCCCTAGCCATTAGAGAACATGTACTCTCTGTAAATTCATTGCTTAAGAGAGCAGTTACTCTTCCTGTCTTTTAGATCTCCTGAATGTATCAGTGTCATTCAGCTACTACTTTTATATAATTGTTGATGCTCTAGGTTTCTAATATAAATGTTATCCTTCCTTATATCAAGGAAACTCCTACCCTCTTCTGATTGTGTACTGGTTTGGGGGTTTGTTTCGGTTTCGTTTTTTTGCCATCCTGGGGATTGCACCCAGAGCCTTGTGTGCACTAAGCACAGGCTCTACCATTGAGCTGTGTCCTCAGCCTCTGTCTGCTGGTTTTGATCTATTTTTCTACATTTCACCTGGAGCTCCTTGAACCTCTGTCAGGCTTACATTTTAGTACCTAGCATGATAATCTTTCCATACATCTTTTGTGGCAAATCTGACATTATCTATATGCCTTTTCCAGCCATTATGGATTAAAACCATTGAGCCACAAAATAAACTGTTCAGAGTATTTTGATAGAGGACTTATTAGCTAAAATAGCATTTGGAATAGGGTTCATTAGGTAAAACTCTGTTCAATCTAGTTTGCCAGTGAACTCTCTAGCTGAGAGTACAAAGGCACTCAAATCATGGAAAATTACATTTAAAATATATAAAATATAATATGTCCAGGTAATATGTTTTACAGATTATTGACAAATATAGACTTTCTGCTACATACCTTATTGGTGAAATAAAAAGAATTCTGGAATTGAAATCAGAGTCACAGAGACCTGATTTTTAAACCCTCTTCAATTTTTGACCAGATAAATAAACTTTATGAATTTAAACTTCCTTATATTGCAAAATCTGGTGGCGAATTAATTGCTAAAATCACTTTGTTTTCTTAACATCTTTGACAATATTTCTTCTCATTAAGTTGATTATGTTTTTTTCAAATTCCAGATTCTCTTTTTTTATTATTAAGATAATTAAATTTATCTTAATATCTTTACAATAATTATTACACATATGTGGCTTTTAAACCTCTTGAACCATTTTGTTATACACTTGAAGGTATAAAATGCAAAATTATAAGCAAAATATAAGCTTATGAAAATGAGATTGCTTTATGTTGTAAATATTTAGACATTGGCATAATTGAAATTTGCTTTAATTTTTTTTCTTTTCAGATGTTTAGTGCTAAAGAAATTGAGTTACAAGTAACTGAAATAGAAAAGGAAAAGGAAGAAGCAGAGAAGAAAAAATCAAAGAAAAATGCCTAATTCTTAGAATGAGCATTAGGAGTTTTTTATGTTTTGCTGTACTGCTTGGAGTTACTTAATGAAGAGTTAAAAGAAATAAGTTAGTTTGCAGTATTACCTTTAGTACTCAAATGTGCTACTTTGAGAATGCCAAATTTGTGGCTGTCTTCAGTCTTACATAGATTGGTGTGAAGGTTTTCTTTAGATAAGCAGATATAATTAAGAAAAAAATTCTAATTTTAAGAAATGAGTAATTTGGGTGAAGTTTGAGTATTCACCCTCAGTTAAAGAGCTGGCTATTCCACAATAAATTGAATGTAATACTGAGTTGCATTTATTTTTTCCTAGCTTATTCTCTGTTGTTTATTCATTCAAGAAGATATTAGAAGGACTGTATATACAATTAGAAAAACCAATAGAGAGGAAAAAAACAACAGTTTCCTCTGTGCAAGCTGTATAAGTACAAGTTGTCAACTCAGCATCCCTTCCCACCCCTTCCTAGGAATAAGAATAAGAATTGTATTTCCAAAATGTTCTTCTACATATGGTTCCAGGTTGGAATGTACCTATGACATACCTTCATCTAAAATTTGGAAAGCAATAAAGAAGATGAGGTCATTGTTCTCTGTATGCAGCCAGCCAGCAGCATGGGCATATGGCAGACCTTCAGTTCACAGCAGCTCCCTGGAAAGTTACCATCAGTCACTCATTTTGTATGGATAATCTTCAAAGTAGCTTCCATGGAAGCTGATTGGAAGATTCCCTGTGAGGTTCTTTGCACTTTCACTGCTTGGGGACACATTCCTGAGGAAATTACATTGCTTCTGATGATTACCAGCAGCCTTGGTGTAGTCTTTCCTGTCCTTTGCTGCCACGGAATTTCCAGTGGTTCTGGATAACTTTGGGTAGAAAACAGAATGACTTCCATAATGTCATTACCCTGCCTGTTACAGAGATCATTAGAAATGCTGATTTAATACAGTTTTGGTTTATGTGCCCTTACAATGCTGGTTTTTTAAAATATTTGTGTTAGTGCATGAGAGTTACGCATAATAGTAAAGTTCATTTTGACATATTCATAAGTGCATATAACACTGCTTCATTTCAGTCTCCAGTGCTTACCCCTTCTCTCATCTTCTCCCTTCCCCAGTCCCCTTACTCTACTCTATTGGTCTTTAATTTATTTACTTATTTATTTTTAATTGATGTATTATAGTTATACATAAAAGTAGAATTAATGTATTCATACATGTACATAGCATAATTTTGTCAGTTTCATTCCATAGTTGCTCTTCTTTCACATCCCCCTTCTTCCCCCTTTCTCTATGCCATTCTTCTCCCATCTATTTTCATGACATACCCTTTCTTTAAAAATCCTTATTTTTTTCTTGTTTCCATGTGTGAGAAAAAACATTCAACCCTTGACTTTCTGAGTCTGGCTTATTTCACCTAGCAATAATATTCTCTGATTCCATTCATTTACCAGCTAATGACATAATTCTGTTCTTCTTTTTGGCTGAGTAAAACTCCATTATGTATATACAAACTTTTTTTTTTTTTATCCATTCAGGTTTTGACAGACACCTAGGCTGGTTCCATAACTTAGCTATTGTGAATTGTGCTGCTGTAAACATTGGTATGCATGTATCACTTTAGTATGCTGATTTTAGTTCTTTCAAGTAAATACCAAAGAGTAAATAGCTGGGTTATGTGGTGACTCCATTCCTAGTCTTTTGAGGAATCTCCATACTGCTTTACAGAGTGGTTGTACTAATTTGCAGTCCCACAAACAATGCATGAATGTGTGTTTCTTCCCACATCCTCACCAGCATTTGATATTTGTATTCATAATGATTGCCATTATAACTGGAATGAGATAAAATTTCACTGTAGCTTTGATTTGTATTACCCTAATTGCCAAGTATGTTGAACATTTTTTCATATATTTGTTGGTCATTTGCATTTCTTCTTTTGCGAAATGTATGTTTAGTCTATTTTCCTATTTATCGATTGGGTTATTTGGGTTTTGTTTTGGTTTTTTGTTGTGTGGTTTTTTGTTTGTTTGTTTGTTTGTTTGTTTAGTTCTTCATATATTCTGGATATCAATCCCTTGTTGGAATAGTAGTTGCTGGAAAGACTTTCTTGTATTCTGTAGGCTTTCTTTTCATGCTCTTAATTGTTTTCATTGCTGTGCAGAAGCTTTTTAATAAACCCTCTATTGATTCTGGGTTTAAGTTCTTGCGTTTTAGGGAGTATTAAGGAAGTTGGTGCCTGCACTAGTGGAGTGTTGACTCTGCTTTCTTCTAGCAGTTGCAGTGTTTCCTAGGTCTTTGATCTACTTTGAATTGATTTTGGTACAGGGTGAGAGAGGGATTTAGTTTCATTGTTCTACATATGGATTTTTGGTTTTCCCAGCACCATTTGTTGAAAACCCTATCTTCTCCAGTGTATGGTTCTGTCTTCCCTTTTAAACTAGAAGATATGTAAGAAATGTTAGGGCTGAGAACTGAGTCTTTTTCATCTTTGTTTCCACAGCCGCCTGAAGTTATGACTTAATACATGCTTGTAGGACTGTTAACTTGCAGATTGCATTCTTTAAAACATCAGATTTTTGGCCAGGTATGGTAGACCATGCAACTCAGGAGGCTGAAGTGGGAGAATTGCAAATTCAAGGCCAGCCTTGGCATTTAACAAGACCATAAGCAACTTACCGAGATCCTGTCTCCAAAAAAAGTATCTAGAGTGTCCCTGTTTTCAAAAAAGAAATCAGATATTGAGAGAAAGAGGAGACTAATCAACTAGTCTAATCACTTACTCACTGTAGAAGCCAACTTCTAATCTCTTTGACACTCGTTGAACATTATAGTGATGGTAAGATACCACATAGTCAATAAATACATATTTAACAGTGGATTCAGGCTCTAGTTAAGTAAAAATGGGAGTACTTCCAGGAAGAGAGGACTGCATTACAAGCAACAAAGTAAGTCCCTACATCCTGGGAAACCTGAAGGTGCAGTAATTTGAAGTGACATTCTGTACTATTCATCCTTCATTGAACATTCTCTGTGCAGGTACCAGAAATGACCTAGATACAGTCCTTATCCTGAAGAAGTCAAATGCCAAATAGTTAAGCCTATTCTTTGAGTTATATGAATGCTAAAATGTCTATTTCCTCATGAACTGTGAATTTAATAAAGTATGGTAGGTTGCTAGTGTTTCCTGAGCAACTTATTTGAATCTTCCCTAATAAATGTAGCAAACAACACCAGATCTTTTAAAAAGGAAATTAAATCTATTTTGGGTGATAATGAAGAAAAGAGGAAGTGAGACCTCCCTGTATCCCAGTTTCCACCACATATCTGAAAACAGAACATTCTACACCTCTGGATGGATTTGATAGATAAAATGTTAATGGCTCTTTTATAAACCATAGCTCAGCTCTGTGCATTTCCACATTTCCTATCTGGGAGAAATAGGGATACATTGTCTCAGGATATGGTTGTAATTCTACCCATTATTTTTACTTGACAAATAAATATTCATAAAATGTTGCATGCTAGAAACTGTTCTGAATTCTTTATAAACATTCACTCATTTAATTTTCTTAATGACCCTCATGAGACAAATTCTATAACTTATGCCCTCCTGGTGCTGCTGATTACAGTGCTTTGCCAACACAACTGTCCATCAAAATGGAGTAATTTCTCACCAGTCTCTCCCTCACAAAGATAAATCATGAGAAATTATGAGAGGCAAGAGCTTTTTTTTTTTTTATCTCATTGGGTTTTTTTCTCCAGTGACTCAGTTATTCTCAGACATCAGAGTCTGGTTATATTTTGGCTCATTGCTTTACTTGACTGGAAGTCTTAAGTGTTATTTTGGCCAAGTTTTACTCATCTGTAGAAAGCAATTTTTGTTTGTTTATGCAATACTGGGAGTTGAACTCAGGCCTTGTTTATGCTAGGCAAGTGCTTGCTTTCCACTGAAAAATATCCCCAGCCCAACAAAGCAATTTTTTATTTAATGTAAGATTGTAACAAAAAAAAAAACTCAAACATTACTGCTATTATTTAAGACATCACTTAGGGTTGAGGTTTAAAAGATAGTAGATTCAGGGGCTGGGGCTGGGGCTCAGCCGTAGTGCGCTTGCCTGGCATGTGTGAGGTACTGGGTTTGATTCTCAGCACCACATATAAATTTATATCAACTACTAAAAAAATTTAGAAAAAGATAGTAGATTTAGAGGCACCCAGCACAAATACATTTTTTTAGTACCAGAGAGTACTAAACCCAAGGCCACCTTACTACAAGCTGATCCTCAGACTTTTTTTTTTTTTTAAATAGGACCTCTCTAAACTACTTAGGACCTCAGTAAATTGTTGAGTTGTGACCCTTCTGCCTCACCCTCCTGAATCTGGGATTACAGGCATGCACCATCACACCCAGCACTCACATATTTCTCCACAAAGTTTAGTCAAGATGGGTGACTGGGAGAATGCTGAAGTTCAATGGTGAATACACAAAGACTTGAAGAAACCCCCAGATTTCAAGTTTAAAGCCAGCCTCAGCAGTTTAGCAAGGTCCTAATTGACTCAGTGAGACCCTGTCTCTAAATACAATATAAAAAAGGAATGGGAATGT